TCCCACCGGTTGCGGTGACGCTGGTCCCGCCTGTTGCGGTGACGCTTCTGCCCAGTGCCAAGCTCTGTCCCGCTGCCATCGCCATCCACCACCAGTCGCCGACTCGTGCTCCATCACTGCCATCTGCTGGCGCCACCACCCTAGAGCCCCTTCGTCGAGCTTCATCCTGTCGGTGCCTCCTAGAGCCCCTAGAGCATGGCCTGCTGGTGTTTGCTACTTGCCGTCGTTGTCCTGATGGAGCTCCCGCAAGCGTGGGGCGGCGCGCCAACGGCTCCCTCGAGCTCTGGCTCGTCTCCCTCGATGCCGCCGCCCTCCTGCCCACCGCTGCCACTCCGCCGCCGCTCTGGCCCTTGCTCGCCGAACTGCCGAAGAGGGGGAAAGAGAGATAATGGGGAGAGAGAGGGAGGAGGAAGAAAGGATAGACCCACATGTCAGTGGACCCCACAAAATTTTCCTTTATGTGAATGACAATTGGGTCCCAGATGTATATTTTTAATTCTAATGCCACCTAAGCGCCACGTCAATTGCAGACCAGGTCAACACTGCCACATAGAAGCCATGTCAGCGAAACCGCTCTTCAAAACCGCCGAGGGAGTCAAATTGCACCGGTTTTAATAGTTCGGGTAGTTATTCTATTTGGTTTTGCGGTTGAGGGTCACGGATTAGATTCGGGTCACTTTTAAGGGAGTCAAAGTGAACTTATTCCTTTTGTGCAGCGGCAATCTGCTGAATAAGGAATACATTCACTTGAGGTCCCTTAACTTATCAACAAATCCGACTTTCGTCCTTCAACCGGAAAACCAGATACAGCGTGTCCTTCAACTACCAAAACCGATGCAATATAGGTCCCATAACGGTTTGGACATCGGTTTTAGCTGACATGGCGCCTACGTGGCTAATTTGACTCAGTCTTCATCTGACGTGGAATATAAAGCAAAATTTCACCATTTAAAAATCAAAACAAAATATGTGGGCCCACATGTCAGTCAAATAATAAGATTAAAAATAGTAGGACCCACATATTAGTGGGCCCCACTTCCTCCACCTCATCCCCTCTCTTTCTCTATCTCCTATCATTCTCCTTCTCCCCTCTTCCCCAGATGCGACTGGCACGGATGCCGACACTCCAGCGAGCGAGAGCGGAGGCAGAATTGGGGGAGGCGCAGCGAAAGCCGAATCGGCAGAGGCCGGTGAGCGGGGTCGGGGCGGGGAGGGAGGAGCATCACCGGCTTGGTCTCTTCGCGCACTGCCAGTAGCCGCTGAGCCCGCGGGACCCGTGGTCTGCCGGCGAGCGCGTGCAGAGGGGGACAAACAGCGGGCGCTCGTTGGTGGCGGCATCCTGAAGCCGACCTCGCTTTCCCTAACCTCCATGGTTACCCATCGCCACCACCACCTCACTCCACCATCGCCCACGCTGATTCGCTCCTCTCCTTGGCCTCCCCGCAATCCTCTTAGCACCACCCGTCGCTCTCCCCCCGATACCGCCGATGTCATCTGGAGGGACACCCTCGCCATCATCCGATTTCGGTGACTGGAGAAGGGAGAGCACCCGGCACCATGGTCCTCCACCGCTCCAACTGCCTCGTCGGTGTGCCGCTCGCCAGCCTCCTCCACATGTATTTGTCGTGGACACTTGACTTGCCAATGTGGAGAAGGATCGGCGCGGCGAATGCGGCCGGTGGGGGAGGAACGTGGCGGTGGATCTCGACCGCTCCTATCCCTGCTCCCTTGGATATTTTTTTTTTCTGATTTTATATTGAAAGTCTACAAAGAAGTTGAGTTTTTGAACTTTCAATTAAAAATTTCAGACGGTTTGAATGAAAACCTTTCTTCAATTAGCATATGCAGTAGCAGCAGGTGTCCTTCGGATTGGGATGTTTTCTTCGGGCAGGTACCACGCTTCGGTGCCATATACTCCCTCCGTCAAAAAAAAAGTGAATCTAGAACTGGATGTAATATATTATATGTCCAGATTCATCGTACTAGGATATGTCACATCCAGTACTAGATTGGTTTTTTACGGGATGAAGGATGCTGCAATTTGTACAAGATATTTTTTCCCAACACCATCATCTTGTCAGCTACCCCTCCATCCAACTTGTCAACTACTCCCTTCATCCAAAAGTCTTAATCCAAAAGTTTTAAGCATATTTCATTTTTTTCCAAAGAATATTATTATATTTGTAGTCCCTATGTGCTAAATTAAATTATTAACAGAAACCAAGCAGTCATTTTAATACTAATTGATTGTATGCATGCATATGGTTTCTTTTTTTTATAGGGAGATGAGTTAAATCCTTTGGTTTTGATGACAAAGAAATAGTATGTTTTAGATGGAACATCCATGCTTTTTTAATCTTAACTAGTATCTCTTACACCGTAATTCATTACTTATTCGACCCATCTTAATTCTCACCTTAATTTACTTTAATCAACACCGTCCAAATATTTAATATTAACCCACTCTATAACGTACTCCGGCTTAGAAATTTTCTATTTATCTTATTAATGTGGTAATTTCTAGCATGGTTTGAAATTTTGGTTCTGAAATTCAGGAACCCCACCAAGCAAATATATCTCATCCGAAATTTTTGGATTTTCTAAAATATTTGTGAATTTGGTCAAAATTTATTCAAGGAATTGGCTCTAACTCTATATAAGTACGTCAAAAGAAAAGAAAGGTCAGTGCAGGAAAGACTAACTAATGACCAATGGATAGAAGACATCAAGCACAACCTCATAGTTCAGCTAGTCAAGGAGTACCTTGAGGTATTCAACCAAGTTTGGAGTAATGACACCACCCTCACGGAAGGTGTTGACGATACCCTAACTTGGAGATGGACGAGCAATGGGGAATATAGTACGAGATTAGCCTATATAACACAATTCAATGGAAGGATAAGCTCAGTTGCAGCAAAACTAATCTGGAAGCAATGGGCTCCCTCCAAATGCAAACACTTTGCTTGGCTGCTGCTGCAAAATAGGATTTGGATAACGGATCGACTACATATCAAACAATGGTCAAACAACTATTTCTGTCAATTATGTTATAGGAATCTAGAAATAGCTCAACATTTCTTCAAGGATTGCTCAACATTTCTTCAAGGATTGTCCTTCTGTACGACATATTTGGGAGAGGGCCCTATGTAGACTGAACTGCAATGAAATTGGCCTGGCACATGATGAAAAAGAACCGTTGTTGAACTAATGGATCAAGAGAACATATCAAGGTGGGAAGGACAAAGCCAAACAAAAAAAAATCAATCCATATGCTAGTAGCATAGGAAATATGGTGCAAGCGGAACAGACGAGTATTTCGAAATCAAGAAAAAAACCCTGTCATAGCTACTAGACAAGATTCATGATGAATTCAAACTATGGAGAATATGTGGAGCAACAAGCATTGCGAGAATCGGCCTAATACTCATTGATTAATTAGTGGTTTTTTCTTTTTCTTTCTTTTTTCTTCCTTCTCCTTCTTCTTTTTCTTCCTCTATCATCTTTCCTCTCTCTCTTCCCTCTTTCTCTCCTTCAGCACTGGTGATCATGTAAATACTCTCTCCCCTACTTAATATAATCTTTTTCTTTCCTCTATCCTCTTTTCTTTCTCTCTTCCCTCTCTCTCCTTCACCGCTGGTGATCATGTAAATACTCTCCCCTACTTAATATAACACAAGCTGTGCTGGCTCGGTTTGAAAAAAGAAAAATTCAAAAGTTGAATAAAAATATGTTAAAATTTAAAATAGTTTCATAAAAGACCATCCGAATTCTTGAATTTCAGGGTTTAGAAATTGCAAACCCTGATTTCTAGTGTTTAAGAGCATCTCTAATAGATGTACAAAATTAGAACCCCAAAAATCCTCTATTGGGAACAACCAAAAAAGAATTTGGCCTAAAATACACCCCCTTCTCCAAGAGGTGCCTAAAATGTTGGTTTCCAAAATTTTAAAATTTGCCACATCATCATTAGTGGGTCCTTCTAAACTAATTTTATAACAACCAGTGATTGATTGAGTCATCTCCATACTGTTGCTGCATGCGTGCACTTCGCTAGTCCCGTCGTCGGCCGTCCATGCCTTGTGGCATGAGGTGCCATGCAATTTTTTTCCGAGATTGCGACGCGCGAGGGGACTAGGCCTGGTCAATCGCGAGATTGCGACTAATCCTAGTCGCGCGTGAAATAACGACTGAGACCATTCACAAGGCTATATGAGACGCATCGATATGATAATGAACGAAGGACACACTGCTGCAGACGCACGCAGAGCTGTTCCTCTGTCAGCGCCGGCGGCGTTAGCTTTTCGGTAAGCCAGGCAACGGCAGCAAGCAGCAACGAGCGAGCAGCAACTATTGGTGACAAGCACAAGCACTTGTACGGTGCGTATAAACCATGCTAGCACAGGTAGAAAAAATTTGCTAGCAACTATGTTTTGCTTTGTTGTATTTATTTTGTTATGTTTTCGATCTGTCAATTTTTTTATGGAGAAAAACTTAACTTGATATGATGAATAAATATTTGGAAAAACGGAAAGCCTAGCTGATCCTCTACATGAACGTGTCATCAATCTGTAGGTTAATATCCTAGGCGACCCTCAATGTTATGATTTTCCCCGGTTAATCACATTCTTTTTTTTAATTTGATCTGACAATATCGCAAGGGGAAAAACCTAATTTGTTTTGACAAATAATGGTTTGGCAGTTGATTTGATCCATGATGAGTCGTCCTCGCTCCTCGTTTCAACGGCTTGTGGATGAATCATCGTCCGATGATGATGATGATTTTTTTTTTGCTGCGGCACAAATCGTGCATAGCTATTGTCACTCCGCCAATACTCTAAAACATGGTGGGTCTGTCATGGGACATGAAGTGGTTGATCGTAACAGAGAAGCACGACACTTGAGATTATACCAAGACTACTTTTCTGATAATCCTACCTATGGTCCAGTTTTATTCAGGCGCAGGTTTATATGTCGTAGATTTTATAAGATTTTTTTGTCATATGCATCTCTACTACTTATTAATAAGAGATGCTTCCATCGTCCGTATAAAAAACCGGCCAAAAAAACCGGACCAGCGAGAAAAAAACCGGGCGGAAAAACCGTAATTGTCTCACAAAAAAAAGGCGAAAAAAATCCGATTCCCTGCAAAAAAAAAGGCGAAAAAAAACCAGCGAAAATTGGCGAAAAAACCAGACGAGCGATAAAAAAACCGTAACCGTCCGATAAAAAAAGCGAAAAAAATAATCCGATTCCGTACGTGCCAAAAAAAAGGACGAAAAAAATCTCCGTGAAAAAAAAAGCGAAAAAAATAATCTGATTCCGTACGTGCCAAAAAAAAGGACGAAAAAAATCTCCGTGAAAAAAAATAGCGAAAAAATAATTAAAAAAAGTCCGACTCCTATCCGATTCCCTCTCAGAAACGAAAAAAATCCTGACTGTAGATCCGATTCCCCCGAAAAAGAAAAGGCGCCACTCCTTTTGAGTCCGAGATACCCGCCACCACTCCTCTCAGTTTCAATCTATACCGTGATATCTCTCAAATTTTGGTGAAATAAAATGATGTGCCGGATTAAAGATCTGTTTATAAAAACGGAACCTACTGGTCGAGAGCATTCCATTTTTATATTATTTTAATTTTTGGGTTTGTAATTTTGCATTTGAGACCCTGTAATTTTTATATTTACATTTGAGTCCCTGTAATCTTACAATTAGGTACTTATGGTCGTTTTTGATAAAAATCTACTATATACTACTTAAAAAATACTTAAAAAATAAGAGGTGCTTCCATCGTCCGTCAAAAAAACCGGGCAGAAAAAACCAAGTTTGTCCGATCAAAAAAACCGGACGAAAAAAAAAGTCCGATCCAAAAAAAAAGTGAAAAAAAAAACCGGGCGAAAAAAACCAGGTTTTTCCGATCCAAAAAAACCGGACGTAAAAAAGTGCGAAAAAAAAAGAAGTCCGATCTAGAAAAAAAAGGGGCGAAAAAAACCAAAGTTGTCCGATCGCAAAAAAAAAAAACGGGCGAACAAAAAAGTGCGAAAAAAAGAAAAGAAAAAAGAAATCTGTCCGATAAAAAAAAAAGGCAGGTTTGTCCGATCCAAAAAACGAATCCGATTCATCAACGCGGTAAAAGAAAAATCGGGAAAAAAAAAGAATATGTCCGATTCCACAAAAATAGGAAACAAACTCCCATCTGTTTTCGTTTGAGCTGATTAGGACTTTGTTTCTGTTTGGGCGAATAGGACTTGGTTTGAATTATACCAAGTCCTATTCGGTTAGCATCACCAGGAGAACAAGTGCATATATACATACATAGTATAAAAAATCATAGCACATAACAAAGAATCACATGCAGCATTATAGCACTTTGCACTGGGTAAAAGGCAAAACAGCACATAACTCTCCTTCAGTCCAAAGTGTGCCACCGAGAGTTCCGCGCCTATGTCGATCCCAGGTAATCCAACAACTCTGTTGTATGCATTTTACATATTACTCTGCTGTGTAGTTAATAATACTACATATTACCTGTAGTGAGTATTTTGCACCAGCAGTTCCAAATCCTTGGGGTTCCCTGTAAAAGACAATGAAATAGATTTACATATTACTCTGTTGTGTAGTTAATAATACTACATATTACCTGTAGTGAGTATTTTGCACCAGCAGTTACAAATCCTTGGGGTTCCCTGTAAAAGACAATGAAATAGTAAAATAATGCATCTGATTTTCCAATAATGCAACAAAATAACTAATGTAACTTTTTTGTTTATCATCAACAGCTCTATCTAGCATGATAAATAGTGGTGACATGCCATCTATATCGTTGTCCCCACTCTTGGATCATAATGAACAAAGAAGACAAAAAGATAGGGAGCGATATGCGCAGATGACTAATGAGGATAAGGAAAATAAACTTAAAAGGCGTCGTGAAGCCTATAAGCGCAAAAAAATTGAGGATTCATATTGCATCTCTATCCAAGAAAAGCGTGCACGTGCGAGGGTGAAATATAATAGTATGGAACCAGAGCAAAAGCAAGCTAAGATAGCACAGGTTAATGCTAACCGTGCAGCGCGGCGCAACACTCCAAGCGAAGATTCCATTGCACTGGAGAACCCTGGGTATATTGCATCAGATATGCCACCCCCTCTTTTGACTAGACCACATAGAAAACCTGTAACACATGGAGAAAGGCACGCATTGATAGCTCGTCGTAATGAAAGCTTCATGATTAGACGGGACACAAGGACATGTGACTCATTAGAAGACCCTTCCATAAGTGTACAAACAACCAGCGACATAGACCCTCCTAAGCAGCCAAGCATTCAGAACACTGGTGAGAATGCTATCTATAAACACTTGCTTCATGTTCTGATGCAATATATATTCTTGTTGTAGTTATAACCAATTTTTTTTTCAATAGACAATTCGTGTTTAACATCTCAAGATACCAACAATGTAGAGCCTACATCAATGTCATTCATCAATGATGACGGTAAACATTCTCACCTATATTTATGTTCACTTTCACTACAGTTAGGAAAAGCATATGTATAAACACACTCACTGGTTTCTATGTAGGTGATGGTGAAGTCATATTTGATGTTGATACCGACGAAGAGAGTGACATGTTTTATGATCAAGGTAATCCTATCACTATTTTCTACTGCCACATAAACAGAGACTTACGTCTTGGTGCTGAATCATTTCAGATTGGGAAGAATACGATGACATGGAAATAAAAGAAGTTGCCGATACCATACCTGAGGGCTCTAGCGTTCTCGATGAGCTTGTGTATAGCAACATACCACAAAGCACTCATATGCTGGAACCTGTGAAAAATTGTGAATTTTGTGATGCAAAGAAGTTTGAGCATGAGCCGAAGGGCTTCTGCTGCAGAAGTGGACAAATCAGACTAGCCAATCAAGACACACCTCCTGAACTCATGAGGCTCTGGACAAGCAATGATTCTGATGCCCAACATTTCCGCAACAACATAAGGTTTTTCAATGGACATTTCTCATTCACTTCTCTCTATTGTCACCTTGATAGAGAGACAACAGACATCAGGAATAGTGGTATTTACACGTTTCGAGCTCATGGCCAGATGTATCACAATATACATTCATTTGGTACTAATGGTTCAAACCCTAAGCATCTGGAATTGTACTTCTATGATGATGATCCTACCCTAGAGCATCGGTATCGCCGTTGCCGACCAGATCTATACGAGCAAGATCAACAAGTAGTCAGCACTATAACCAACATTCTACGTGGTAATCCATACTCTGAGCAGTTTAGAAGTTTGGGGCAAGTCGAGAATCTCAAGGACTACCGTGTGGTGTTAAACCTTGACCAATGGTTGGATCAGAGAACGTATAACGCGCCAATAACTTCAGAGGTGGCTGCGGTTTGGGTCGAGGGAAACGAGCGACGAAAAACATTTGATAAGAGTGTAATCCTACAAGGGAACAACAACGAAATAGAAGGCATCCGGTCATACTATGGATGCTACGATCCGTTGTCTTATCCGCTATTCTTTCCTAGAGGTGAATTGGGTTGGCATGCTGATATACCAAAGTTTGGTGTTAACCTAGAAGATGTGATGAAGGCTCGTCGTAATCGCAACAACAATGACGAGAACCCAGGTTTATATTTCAACACCATGTTTTGTTATGACACATGTTTACATACGTCGCTCTCTTCTAATCTGATGTTATTCACAGATTCAAGTAACAGACTGTGTGTTTCCGTGAGAGACTACTACTGCTACAAGTTCCAAATGCGACCTGGCATATTCAACCCAATATTGCATGGCGGACGTCTTTTCCAACAGTTTGCGGTTGATACATACATCAAGATTGAAAGCTCGCGGCTAGACTACATATTTAATCATTAAAAAGAGATAAGGGCAGATCTATACCAAGGCTTGTTAGATAGCATTAATATCGGAGAGAACAGAGGGAATGCAGTAGGCAAGCGGACGGTCCTTGCTTCATCATTTATCGGAGGGCCTCGGGATAAATTGCGCCGATACCTAGATGCAATGGCTTTAGTTCGAAAATATGGAAAGCCAGATGTCTTCCTCACGATGACCTGCAACCCCAATTGGGAAGAGATCGTCCGTGAACTCGAGAATGGGCAGACTCCTCAGGATCGCCCAGATCTCATCGTGCGCGTATTTAGAGCAAAACTAGAAGAAATGAAGAAGCAATTGTTTGAAAAAAGCATTTTTGGTACTGTTAAGGCTTACACCTATGTTGTGGAGTTCCAAAAAAAGGGTCTACCACACGCCCACTTCTTATTGATCATGACAGGGAAATACAAGTACACGTGTGCTGAGCAATATGATAGAATCATCTCCGCCGAGCTCCCAGACCAACGCAGATACCCAGAGTTATATACAATGGTCGTCAAACATATGATGCATGGTCCTTGCGGCCCATTGAACCACAATTGCCCGTGCATGAAGAATCGTTCATCTTGCAAGAACTATTATCCCAGACCTTTCAACGCTACTACCATTCAAGGCAAAGACTCCTACCCTGTATACAGGAGACGCGATGATGGTCGCACTGTTATAGTACGAAAATGTCCACTAGACAACAGGTGGGTTGTTCCTTACAACCCTTACCTCTTGCGGATGTTTAATTGCCACATAAACGTTGAGGTGTGCTCAAGCATAAAGGCCGTGAAGTACCTGTTCAAATACATTTACAAGGGTCATGACCGAGCATCTGTGTCTGTAAATGGGGTAGATAACGAGGGGGACATTGATGAGATCAGGCAATATAGGGACGCACGATGGGTGACACCCCCGGAAGCATTATGGAGAATCTATGGCTTTGATCTAAGCAAAATACATCCTGCTGTGTTGCAACTACCGCTTCATCTTCCAAACATGCACATGGTTGCATATCGAGGCAAACAAGACATCCAGGAAGTGCTCAATGAGGATGGTGCCGAGAAATCAATGTTGACTGCATACTTTGAAGCAAATAGGTTATATAAGGAAGCTCGGGGCATCTTGTACCAGGATTTTCCAGAGTATTATACTTGGCAAACAGGCAAAGGGAAGAAGTTTTGGCAAAAAAGGAAAATAGCTGTCCATCAAGTTGGCAGAATTGTCTTGGCCCATCCAGCGGAAGGTGAACGATACTATCTACGAGTTCTATTGAACCACGTGACAGGCGCAACATGCTATGAAGATTTACGAACATTTGATGGCAAAATACTACCATCCTTTCGTGAAGCTGCAGAGAAAAGGGGTTTGATTGAGGCAGACAATACACTAGATGAATGTCTCACAGAAGCCGAATTGTTTCGAATGCCGTCATCACTCCGAAGGCTCTTTGCAACAATTCTGGTGTTTTGTGAACCTAGCGACATCCGTACCCTCTGGAACAATCACCTTGAGGCTATGTCAGAAGATTTCCGTCGTGATTGCCAATGTCCACATGCAGTTCAACAAATGGTTTTAATAAATATTAGGGATATGTTGCAATCAATGGGCAAAGATATACGATCGTTTCCTCTTCCTGAGATTGATGAGTTACATGACACAACAAATGGTGTGCCTAGGGAGATCATTGAGGAATCTACGATCAAAGTAGACCCTGAGGACGTAAATTTGTGCAACTCCCTCAACACTGAGCAGAGGGCTGCCTATGATGAAATTCTAGCAGCAGTTGATCACAATGAAGGAGCCGTATTCTTTGTGGATGGCCCAGGAGGCACGGGTAAGACTTTCCTATACAAGGCATTGCTCGCGACGGTTCGTAAACAAGGAAAGATTGCAATTGCGACGGCTACTTCTGGTGTTGCCGCTTCCATAATGCCTGGAGGAAGGACCGCACACTCACGGTTCAAGATACCACTAAGGATAGATGATGGTGCCATTTGCAGCTTCACAAAACAAAGTGGGACGGCCAAACTGCTCCAGATGGCATCACTGATCATTTGGGACGAAGCCTCTATGACCAAGAGGCAAGCAGTGGAGGCACTAGACAACAGTATGCGGGACATAATGAACAAACCAAATATTCCATTTGGTGGGAAAACAGTTGTGTTTGGAGGTGATTTTAGACAAGTTCTCCCTGTTGTCAGAAAGGGGTCTAGGGCTCAGATAGTAGATGCATCGTTGCGCAGGTCCAACCTCTGGGATTGCATGCGACACTTGCAGCTCGTGCGCAACATGAGGGCACAAAGTGATCCGTGGTTTGCAGAATACCTACTACGGATAGGTAATGGCACTGAGGAGACCAACGATAATAGTGAGATACATCTCCCTGACGATATATGTGTGCCATATACAGGAGATGATAGTGACCTAGATAAATTGATTGAGAGTGTCTATCCCATGCTCAATGATTGCCTAACAGATCCAAATTACATCACATCCAGAGCTATTTTATCCACACGGAACGACTGTGTAGATAGTATTAATCTAAAGATGATTGATCGCTTTCAAGGGGAGGAGATGGTGTACCATAGCTTTGATTGTGCGGAAGATGACCCTCATAACTACTATCCACCGGAATTTCTTAACACTCTCACACCAAACGGGCTCCCTCCACACATATATATATATACATATAATGTGTATATATATAATATGTATATACACACATATATATATACATACATACATATATATATATATATATATATATATATATATATATATATATATATATATATATATATATATATATATGTGTGTCTCATTAGTTATGATTGCGCAGGAATAGAATGAGCAGGCCTCTGTTTCTCTGCATAATGAATGTGGTAGCGGATCACGATGACTATTTTGTGCAGAAGAGAAATGCAGCTGGTGTAATTGGGTTAAGTTGTCATCAAAAGGTCACTGCAGCAATGCGTCAGTTGGCTTATGGTATAGCAGCAGATGCATTGGATGAATATCTTGGTATTGCAGAAAGTACCGCTATAGAGAGCCTGAGAAAGTTTGTGAAAGCAGTTGTCGAAGTTTTTGAACATGAGTACTTAAGATCACCCAATAAAAACGATATAACTCGATTACTTGAACTTGGGGAGAACAGAGGTTTCCCTGGCATGTTAGGCTCCATAGACTGCATGCATTGGAAGTGGAAAAACTGCCCTACGGAATGTCATGGTATGTACCAAGGGCACGTGCATGAGCCTACAATAATTTTAGAAGCAGTTGCTTCAAAGGATCTCTGGATTTGGCACACTTTTTTTTTGTATGCCCGGATCTCATAACGATATCAATGTACTTCATCGATCCCCGCTATTTGCAAAGCTAGCTGAAGGCAAGGCTCCTGAAGTGAACTATAGCATAAATGGTCACGATTATACGATGGGATATTATCTTGCTGATGGCATATATCCTTCTTGGGCCACATTGGTGAACACCATACCAGAACCACATGGCAACAAGAGGAAATATTTTTCCAAAGCACAGGAAGCAGTAAGGAAGGATGTCGAACGAGCTTTTGGGGTTCTACAAGCTCGCTTTGCCATTGTTCGAGGGCCAGCTCGATATTGGGATGAAAAGACACTGGGATACATCATGAAAGCTTGTGTTATCATGCATAACATGATTATTGAAGATGAGGGAGAAGTTGATTGGGAGGAACGATTCCCAGAGGGGGGAGAAAATGTCAGAGTGTCCCATGATGAAATACCTGATCTTGATGACTTTATTCAGTCGCACAAAAAAAATAAGGGACAACGAAACCCACTATCAACTACGTGAAGACCTCGTGGAGCACTTGTGGCAGCATTATCCTGATAAATATTGAGGTTTTATATTTATATTTATATTTGAATTACATGTAATAAATATATCTATGAGGATTTGCCAAATTATTTTAATTTGGTCTTCGTGTATTGAATAAATGTTGTATTGTTCGGTTTAAGAATAGTACATGAGAATAAATAATAGTGTACTTCCTTTAACTTGTCAACCTAGTCATAGGTACAGTTCAGCTTATATATAATTTGCAAGATATGCATCAGCTTGTCAGCAAGATGACCGATCATTAGTACAAATTTCAAAATATATGAGGCTTCTGACTCTGTCAACAGCAACAAAGACAAAAGCATTACTGACAGCAGGATGAGGGAATTACCCAAGTACTGAATAGACAATTTTGAATATAAATAGTTTGCATTGCACAAACTTAGTAAACTCACCTAATTTAGACACACAAAATAGACACAATTGTGAATATAAATAGTTTGCATTGCACAGACTTAGTAAACCTAGGTAAATTTCTAACAAATCTTCACTAATATGAACTCCAAGTACGATTGCCACCAAATATTGCCATCTCCTTCCCTCCCATTCTCTGATCTGGTGGCTTCCCTGTTGATAGCAATGAGATGGAGTGAAAATGAATCAGAATACATGTACAGACCAAAGTTCAGACCAACATTTGGCAGTGCATCATGCAGCATATTTAAAAATATATGTAGTCCCATGTATTAGTGGATCATGCAACATATTTAAGAATCAGATGGTGTAGTGTAGCTGTGCAAAGGCAGCATTTCAACAAGATGGACACAAGAACAAGTATATGCATGGACACAGGCACTCAACTGAATGTAAACTGTTATGAAACACAAACCTATCAACCAGAACTGTTCATGCGACGAGAGATGATCTCATCTTGTACACACTTGTAGAATTGCTGCTGTGAGAGAGGCTTGGAAGAAATGTCCATTGTCATAATTCTCTCTTCTTCTAATATCCTCTTCAACTGTATCTCATCCATCTCATTCGCGACCTTTTTTTTATCTAACTCAAGCCTCTGCTTATCTAGTTCATATGACTTTTGGTGCCTCTCATCTCTCTCCTTCTCTGCGTCAGCTTCTTTTTTTTTCTCCCACAAATGATCAAAAGCATCTGTGCATGTTTCACCTCCACCACGCCTCAACTGCTCTTTGGCCCTCTTCTTACCCATCGGTCTCTTTGGCTCTTCGGTCTCTGTAGGTTCATTATCTTCGCCAACATGATTGGTAGTTTCATCATTTGTGGGTATAGCTTTTGCTGAACCATCTGTGCTTGGCTTCTGTCTGTTTGTGGCACATGGTTTCTGGGATGTTATTTGCTTCATCTTATCATGCCACTTAGATTGTGACCGCAAGAGAGTCCAACAGTGAAGAAATTGAAAGGGCTTTCCTTCCAACTCCTTAAATACAGCAATTGCCTAAGAAATCTGCACAAGTCAAGTATGGTGAATGTAGTTAGCAAACATCACATTTTTTATTTATAAAGTAACATAAAAACACAAGCTACATAACTATGTATTACCTTGTCGTGTATACTAACCCCGCTTTGCCTTCTACCCTCAATCTGGCTCAGATATCCACAAAACTTGTTGACATTCTCTTGTATAGTTTTCCAACGATGCATAAGTGAATTCTGGCTGCGATCTGGTGTGGATTTACTCGTTTTGTAGAAGTGCTCGTATATTCTAGTCCAATATGCAGCACGAGTTTGATTTGTGCCTAGCACTGGATCCAAACTTACATGCAACCACGCCGACACAAGTATCTTATCTACTTGTTCGCTAAAATTCTTCGATCTTTTTTGATTTGGTCTAGCCACGGTAGTCCTCTCAGCAGTGGGGAACTGCTGCGTGACAGGCTTGCTACTCATGCCATTCTCATCAAGCTGGTTACTCATATCATCCTCCACAGGCATACTACTCAAACTATCCCAATCTAAGGAATCGTTGCCCTCATTCATCAAATTAGTATAGAATCCTTCTTCTTCCATTATCAATAGGACCTACGAATAGTACATGTTTGTTTAATTTAGTGATCAGATAAGAACAATACTACTAGTACGTTTGTAGAAGTACTAGCATCTTGGGACTCTGCAATTTAATTTCACACATGTTCACTGAATCCATTACAAAAGGCTAAAAAGTTAAGGTCAGAAGATACTAGAAGCTAATAGCAATATCTAGCCAATGAGCATCTAACTGGTCAGGTCATCAAACACTTAAATTATCTAAGAAAAGGTCATCAAATACTGCTGCAAGCAAACAAAACCATGCACATATAGAAGCTCATTGTTTAGTTAATTTAGGGCTCTGTACAACCTGAAGAAGAATGCATCTGACTGAACACAAACGCAAGCAAACACTGTTGAATTAACAATTGGTATAGTCCAGTAACTTTTGTGACATCCATGTTAGTATAATCCTCAAATTATATTTGATCAGTATATTCGTAAAATGAGTTCCTGATTTAACAAAAGTTAATTTCAATCTAGGAGAACAATTCTCAATTGCCTGGCCTGAATGATCCTGAAGCTGAGAAGCAGCAACAGGTATGATGCTTAGTAATTCTGAACTTCTTTTCAAGCAGTATCACAATTCGTTCAGGTGTTGTGCCTCAACATTTTTTTTCTGTATTTTTCTGAATATCCATGAGTTGTTGATCAAGTGCATATCTGAAGATCTGGGTTTCTCTATTGCAAGGCCTATTGCCGCATACCTCATCTACCGATGCCTGATCCACTGGAAATCATTTGAAGAGGACAGGACAACAGTTTTTGATTGCATTATTCAGAAGATAAGTGCTGCAATTGAGGTATGTGGCAGTGATTTGGGAAACATTTTTTTTCTTATCGGGCGCGATGATTTAAGGGAGGAGCTTTGCATCTCCATCAAAAAATTGGGGAGATATCCCTATGAACTAGATGGCTGTGTGGGGGATTGCCGGTGTGGGGAAATCAGTACAGGAACTTCAAGCTTGAAAAGAATAAAGTTGTTTCTCTGAAAATACCTCGAAGTGAATCAGTAACAGCACACGTCGTCGTCGGGGCAACCTGGATGGACGGTCGACGGCGAGGTGGTGGTGCCCTGGACGGGCGACCGGCGGTGCTGCCCCTGGATGGATGGCTGGCAGGCCGGCAGTCCCCCGGATAGGCGGCCGGCGGAGCCCTGGACGGATGGCCGGTGAAGCCCTGGACGGCCGGCCGGCGGTGACTTGAATCGGCAGCCGACGGTGCTCAGGACGGAGCTGGCGCGAGGAGCTCCCAAAACCCTAGCCTGGCGGCGTGGGCGCTGCTTCTCGCGAGAAAGAAAACGGCGCGAGGAAGGAGCGAGAAGGAAAAGGAGGCGGGCGGAAAAAAAAATGGCGCGGACGGTAAAAATAAATTGGCGCGATTGGTGGGAATGGGAGGGCGTACCGCTTCCCAAATTCTGAAGAGATTGGCACCGATTTCAGGAGGGGGTAAATTTTAGGACCGTAATTGACAGCATGTTGGAGACCAGTTTTAACCAAAATACTAAAAAATAATTTTCAGGAACCTATTTGGCTCTCTGTTGGAGATGCCGTAAGAGAGATTGCGAAGGCCTTACCCAGACACGCAAGCAGTCAGTCACAACACATCACACCTCCCACGGTCCGGTCCTCACTCCTCCCGCGCGCGCACCATTTCCGGAACAAAAAGCACGCGCCCACGCCCCTCCAAAAAGTCAAAAAAAAAAAACAGAAAGAAGCATCGACCAAGAAATCAAGGCCAGCCAGCACACCTGCACAAGCGGACGACGGACGCCGGGGAGATATATACATCTCCCTTTCCTCCCACGATCCGCTCATCGGCGCGACAGCTGGCACCTGCCGGTTTTGATATGATCATATGCATCCCCTTTTCAGTTTCATTTCACCTATTTTTACATGTCTATCTTTTTTGTGTGTAGTACATAAATGCAAATAATGCGTCTCTTTTCTCTCATCATAGCCTTTCGATCGGTAGAAGCTAGAATGCCAGAGATGGTGAGGGCGTCAACAGCCATCTCTGCGGGAAGAGTCGTCGTCGTCGCCGGAGCGGCGGCGTTGGTGGTTGTCTTGCTGTGCGCGGCGCCGGCGCCGGCGGCCGTGGAAGCTGTCCCGGCCGGCGCCGAGGTCTCCGAGTTCCCGGGGTTCGACGGCGACCTCCCCTCCAAGCACTACGCTGGGTACGAATTGAACAAGGAATATATTAGATCAGATTTATTGAATAACTAGATCAGATCCTTGTTGCTTTACTTTGCTTAATTACGCCGTGGGTTTAATTTTGTTGTTGCTTCGCTTTTGCTCTCTTGATGTGTTAGTTAGAAGACGCGTGCCCACGCTCACCAGTTTTCTCCTCATTTATATATATCTGCTGTTGTTCTTTTGCTCTCTTGATTTGATTTGGTTTGATTATGAATTAAGGATTTAAGGTGTTGAAGTTTACGAATAATGAATTGTAATATAAACTGGACGCGGATCCGGTGTAGTTTTCTTTGGTAATAAGGAGTATGGTTACATGATCGAGCATAGCCAGCTATATATATGCGGCCGTTTGCAGCCGTTTTCAGTTCGATACCAAATTCATCACCACCCCGTTTTGGAAATCACTAATTTTTTTCCTGAATTTAAATTATTTTGTTGCGGTCTTTTGTAAAGAGTGACCGATATAAGTGACCATGTAGCTCTGTGAAGTATTAGATTTATAAGTTAATGGTTTTTTTTTCATTTATATATTCAATCTCCATGTCAATCTATTATATATTGTCATTTCGACATACCTTCTTAATATTTTTTTGAGTAAAGTGCATTGGCGGTACTTAAACTTGTAGGGTTGTGTCATATAGGTTCCTAAACTCTCAAAAATGTATATCCAGGTTCTAGAACTTGTCAAAATATATCATCTAGGTCCCAAATTGACACATCCCCTCTATGATCCTATGTGGTGCTGATGTGGCAATGCCACATGGACGTGATGTGTCCTTTTTTTTTCTTCTTTCCTTTTTCTTTTTCATTTTCTTTTCATTCTTGTTTTTTTCCTTTCTTTTGCACGGATCACAGAGAAAAGGAGAAGAAAGGGAAAAAAAGAGAAGAAAAAAATAAAAAGGAAAAAAATGGGTATCATTTATCAGTCAAAATAATGCCACGTCATGTCTGTGTGGCATGCCACATCAACGCCACATAGGATCATGAAGGGGTTGTGGCAATTTGGGACATAGATGACACACTATGACAAGTTCTGTGATTTGGATATGCATTCTGAGAGTTTAGGGACCTAAATGACATACCCATATAAGTTTAAGGACCGCCCATACACTTTACTCATATTTTTTTTACCCAAGTTAAGATTTTGAGATTGCACAGCACAAATTCTAAAATGCATTTTTTCTAATAACAGAGAGAGTATCTGTTATGTATCATTCTAACAATTATGATATACATTAACTATTACCATTATTAAGCATCCAATCGTTTTCCTAAAGCAGTCATTAACTCTGAGTAATTGTTGTGCATGGCTAAAGTAATGAAGGGCAGGAGGGAAGATCACCTACAATGATTTAGAATATGGAATGAGAAAGTATTTTGATAAACTAAATTGAATGCTAAAATTAAAGTAATAAAACGGAGGGTATCAAATTTGGTAGTCTTATATAGGGAACTTAGAGCAAGTTTTATAGTGGATTGATAGTCAACTTTAATTTTGTCCACATCATCAACTCATTAATTAAAATGTACTCCCTCCGTTCCAAAATATAAGGCACAACCACTATTAACCCAAAGACAAGAAATAATTATTACCACCTCATAGTTTGAATCATCCTAATAAATAGAATGCATGCACCCTATCAAATTAGATATCTTGATGGTGGAGGATTTAAATAATAATATTTTAGTGGAAAAGAAGTGCTATTTAATGACATGCATGTATGCGCGCCTTATATTATGAAACAACTTTAAAAAGTAGTTGTACCTTATATTATGGAACGGAGGGAGTAATATACACAACACATTACCTCTAGCACCCTTGCCCCAATACACCATATTAATTTAATTTTATTTGTTTCCTATCAATTCATTGGCCTCTTGCTCTCTTCTCTCTTTGAAGTTGCTCCTTGCATGAGATGCAACTCATTCTCTCTCTTTATTTATCTCATCCACCTTATCATGTGAGCTTATATGGCACTTAGGGGAAAGTGTTCAGAGGCTTATAATACTTTCTCTTAGCTCTTAGCTGTACATGATCTTGAATTCATCATGTTTCATGAGTTTTTTTGTACCATTAGAAATGTTGGGGTCCATCGAAGTGTATGTTGTGTGGCCTCAATTCATTCGTGGGCCAGTTCGCCCTGGGGTTAAACAACATCAATCATATAAATTGAAACAGCATATAAAAACCCAAAGAATTTTGAAACCATATTAGGCATCTTAATCCATATTAAAAAAATATATAAATAATTATTTTGTTTGTTTGACAGGTACATAACTGTTGGACATCAGCCGCTAAAGAGACATATGTATTACTATTTTGCCACTTCCGAAAGGAACTCAACCACTGACCCTGTCATCATCTGGATAAATGGTGGCCCAGCATGTTCAGGATTTAGTGCCTTTTTGCATTCAATCGGTAAACATCATATTTCAGAATTGTATGAAGTGTTACATGATTATGCCATTAGAAAAAAAACCCACTGTTATTCTATTGTTGTAGTTGTAGACGAATTTGCAAAGTATAAACTTTTCTAATAATGATTTTTTTACTGGACAACATATATGTAGATTTGTCGCATTTTACTAATACAATTATATATGTAGATTTGTTGCATTAGTAGTGGACTTATAGGCCAACAAATAAGCATGGAAAAACTATGCTAAGAGAAATAGTATAGTGAGCATTTTGCTAGTAAGATGCCTATATACATATCTAAATATACCTGAGGCAGGTGCATATTTTTTCTACTGATTATGTTCTAATTAATGAAGCACACATTATTTACATATATAACTAAATTTCA